TGAGATTCACCTTAGCTCTTTAATCTGAATCCCAACACTATCTCTAAGGCATAAAATTTCCTTCAAGGGACAGGTTAAAAGACAAGGAATAAACCTACAAAAGATTATCTTGACAAGATCCTCTTTCTAATAATATTTCTCAACAATTAGAAAAACCTTAATTTATGAAGTTCCAAGCTTCTAGGTTAATTTTGAATTCCCTTATCCAAAATCTTGCCCAGTTTTATTGAATCTTCCAATGCAAAAGCATCAATAATGATAAATCAGACAGGAAGTACTGGACTGATCACAGGGCCGGCAGAAATAGTTCTCATGCATATATCCTCTCCTTAATTCAAGAAATAATTCCAAAATAACAAAAAGGTGAAAAGGAAGTTTATAAACACCAACTTTCAAGAAAGATGCTTGAAGAAAAAAGCTAAAAACCTAGTTTCTATTGCCATTTAGTCATAGCAATGTCATACCTCATTAAGCTCATAAGCCCCAGGAGCTTCAGTACTTCCAGCTAAAAAGCTTCCCATCATTACAGTAGATGCCCCAAGCACCAGGGCTTTGACAATATGCCCTGAGAATGAAATGCCACCATCTGCAATGACAGGAATGCCACTTTGTGAGGCAATGGATGAAACCTTGTAAACAGCAGTTGCCTGCAAAGTAGCAAGACAAGAAAAACAAGTTAAAGTGTGGACCTAGGGATAGAATGTGCAAACTACCTCAACTATTTACAATGGCATAATTCACTTTGAAGTTCAGAACTCTGTTGCACGTTTTCATATGCTAGCTTATGGTTGAACCCTTTTCTATTGGGGCTTTTATATTCTTACTTACTAAAAATGATTGTTCCAAAAAATAAAAAGCAGAAAATTTACCCCAAAAAAAACATTTTTTTTTCCGAGTAACAACAAGATACTATTATCAGAGAAGGTCCTTTACCTGTCCTCGCCCAACCGCACAGACCTCTTGTGTGGTGCATATAGACCCGGACCCCATACCAACTCTCAACCCATCCACACCTGCCTTAATCAAATTCTGTGCTTGACTCATTGTCACCACGTTCCCGCCAATCACATCCAACTCAGGATAAGTCTGCTTCACGTATTTGATCATCTCGATCTGATAAATAGAATTCCCTTGCGAACTATCCAACACAATAACATCAACACCTGCCTTCACCAAATGCTCCAACCTCTCCTTATCCGACCCCCTCGTTCCAATTGCCGCCCCAACCATCCACCTCCCATCGGAGCCCACCGTTCCCTTCCCTAACTTAGGATATCCCTTCACCCTCTCAACCTCCTCCTTCGTCACCACATCCACCACCTCTCCTCCCTCCTTCTCCAACACCACAAAATCAAGTCCTTCCTCTTTTAACTTCCCATCAATCTGCCCCAGATCATAATGACATGGCACAGACACGTTTGCATCCGTGCGCATAATCTCTCCCAATTTAATTTCTGTATCTTTCAACCCCAACCAATCAGACTTCGCCACATATCCCAGCAACTTCGACTTCTCATTCCCTGAACAATATGCAACCAAAAAAAAATCCTTAAAAAACTGATTTTTATACACAAAAAAAACAGAGAGAGAGGGCAAAATTCGGAAGAGGAGTGATTAATTATTATTTCTTTTAAATACCTGATTGAGTAACAAAAACAAAAGGAACATCATCGCCTTCAAACTCATTAACGATTCGTGAATCAGGCGTCTTAAAAACTGGACTCGACAAAATAGGCACTCGGCGTGACTTAACGGATCTGATCATATCAGCTTGCTCGGACGGTGTTGCGTTAGAGTGAATAATCCCAATTCCACCGACCGCTGCCATGGCAGCCGCCATGTAGGACTCCGTAACAGTGTCCATGGGAGAGGAAACGCAAGGGATAGAGAGGGGGATGTTGCGCGAGAGTTTCGTTGAGAGGTTAACGGCGTCAGTTGGGAAGTCTATGTAGTGAGGGAGGAAGATAACGTCGTCGTACGTGTAGGAGTAACCTTGGTTGAAGAGCTTTTCGGCGGGTGAACCGTCTTCGAATTCTGCAGCCATTTTAGGAGGCTGTTTCAGTGGTTGGGGAGGGGGCAAATGTAGGGGAGGGTGGAGAAGAGCGTTGCGGAAGATTGGTTTTGTTAGGGTTTTATAGTAAGATAGATAATGATGAATTGAAATATGGAGGGAAGGAAATGGACAAAACGTTCGTGATGGGTGCGTTTGTGTTTGTGTGTTTATGATGATCTAAGGGCGTCCATTGACCTTTACAGTCAAACAAAAAGCTCTTGCGCTGCGCCTTTGTTCAAATCAAACGATTATTGTTAAAAAAAAATAAAAAAAATTCTAACACAAACTATATTTTACAGAAACATAGATATTATACTATCAACTTCTTAAAACACTTGTGAAGTCCTGAAGTATTTAATTTTAGATTTATTGTGTTTTTTTTATCGTTCAGTATTTTTAAATATTATTAATTTTCAACTGTTTTTAGTTCACATATATGTTGTGCCACATTATATTTGTTTTAATTGTAATAATTATATAGTTTTTGAACAATAAACCATGCATGGACAGTTTACTAGTTTCATTCTGAAAAAAAAAAGTAATTCAATGTGTTTTATTTTATTTTATTAGATAATCTATTAAATTAACTTTGATTTTATTCATATTGATGCACGTGAAAAGAGTTGCCTTGAAATAATTGCCGCTGTGTCAATCCTTTTTTTCCTCTAATCAGAAAACTTTTTTTTATTGATTTTTAAAAAAAGAAATAATGTTGTTTTTTTAAATAAAAAAATGTTTAAGAAAATTAAAGCTTGGATCCATCCACTCAACCTATCATTTCTTATCAAATACCATTTTTTAAAAATTTGGAATTTGTAAAATAAATTCATTTACTGCTATAATCAATTCAATTTTAAACTGCCGAACATTCATCATCCTAGGAACCAGAAGACTCTGATTAGGAGAACAAAGTGATTCGGCTTGGTGATGGTGGTGGAGATTATACAAGGCCACCCTTCCTCCGCCATTGCACGAAATAACCACTCAGCCTGGTCCACAAAAACACTACAGCAGGTCTGCAAAATAAACTTGTACAAACCATTCTCAAAAAGCCCAAGCCTGATAAATAGCCTTTTAATTATTCTAATAGCTTGTTTAGTGCAGTTCCATAATTGTTTATATTAAAATATATATTAATATTTTTTTTAAAAAAATATTTTTAATATTAACACATTAAAATAATTTTAAAATAAAAAATATATAATTTTAAATTTTTTTAAAATATTTTTAAAATACATAAACAAATAAGCCTTAAATGTTATTTTTCCACCCCCACTACTGAAAAACATACATCAGCTTGTAAATAAATATTTAGATATAAAATTAAAAATTTTATTAGTTTAAAAAAAATAATTAAGCTTAAGTGAATATATTAAAATTAGATTAATTTTTTGAATTTGCAATTATCCATGAGATTTTAGACACGAATTCAATTAAAAAACTTAAGTTTAAATTAATTTAATATTAAAAAATAAAATTATTTAAAATTTTTATCAAAATAAAAGGAAGAAGAAGAAATCAAAAGCATGAGTCTAAAGTCTAACAAGAAAAAAAATTTGAGGATGAATTATATATATATAAAAAATTAATTATAGAAATTATTGCAAGCTAGATAAATATCAATTAAAATAATAAAAAATAAATTTTACAAATAAAAAATTGAACAGGGATAAAATTGAAAATAATTATAGAAATTATTGCCAGCTTCAATTAAAATAATAAAAAATAAAATTTACAAATAAAAAATTGAATAGGGATAAAATTGAAAAATTATTTTTAAAATTTTAAATTATTTTAAATAAAATAAATAATAAAAAAATTCATTAAATAGAAAAAAATAATTAAAGGTTAATTTAAAAAATTAAAGGGCAGGACACAAAAATCGAGGAGTTGTGAGAGACACCAAAAAAGAGTAAAAAAATTGTCAACACCAATCGAAAGGTTAGTGGCATGCACGCGCTGACAATTCATATATGAACTACCTATACAAACAGTTACTTATCCTAGAATCATGTTTTGGCTACTAGAATTAGCCTTGTGTATCATTAAAAAATAGCGGAGAGTTTGAGGAGTGTAAAACACACGTAGACTATTTTTTTTAATAAATACTTTATATTAATTAAAATATTAAATTGTTTTTAACCAAACAACCAAACCTAGTACAAACAAAAAAAATTAACAATATAATGATAATAATACCCTCACACATAAGGTATCAAAATTTGAACTTTAAAGGTGATTAAGTTTTTTTATTATGCTTTTAAAAATAAAAATATGAAAACACCCCTGTTACAAATTAAATATTTTTATTCTAAAAATAAATAAATTATAAATTATTTTATCATGCATCGAAAACCAAAAAAAATTCCTTCATGATAGCTTTATAATTTATTATTTTTAAAGACATTGAAGTTAAATTATTGTTAAAAAAAAGCAAAATGCCCATCATAGCCTTGGTCAATTTTAAAATATCGAAATGGTTTTACCACGTATCAGCCTTCTTTTTTTTCTTTCTTTTTTTTGAAAGGCAAGATAAAAAAATACATTCCCTGTCGATAGTGTATTATGCCAAGGGAAACAATGTTTTTACCGCCCTTTTAATTTTTTTTTTAATTTTTTTTAATACAAGGGATGTCAACCCCTCTTCCTTCGTCACGTAACAAAAGAAGTAAAGTTACCAATGACTTGAATTCATTGCCACAATCAGCCTTCATTTCCTTGGCTGAACTTTCTGTTTTTATCCGAGAATTGGATTCATGCAGGATCTCTTATAACCTAACCCAGAAAGAAACCCATGATGCAATTTCGCAAAGCTTCAACCCATTCATATCGAGCATCAAATACTGTAACCCATGGAACTAGGAAAACAGCACCTGGAAAACTCTTGCCATTTGTTCAATAGCATAACAAGCACTGCATTCATCGGAGCAGTATAAGAGATAAAAAGAAGAAGAAGAAGAAGAAGAAGATGTTCGAACGGAACAATACCCAGCATGCAATCTCAGTGATCACATATGGATATCAGCCACTAATTCACGGTGCAATTACAGGACCGAGGGCACACAACAGCCTGTATCTTCTCTAGCCAGCGAGATGCTATCAATATATAATCAACACGAAGATATCTCCACGGAAATCGAGTCTCGTCTTATTTCCTCGAAATTAAGCATCTCCAAACAGGTGTCTTTATTTTAGTGAACTCGTAGAGAGTCCGAGTCACCTGACTCACCTTCTCGTATGTTCTAATTCTAATTAATAAAATTTGTACAACTCATGCGGAGAAGTATATGTCCCTCGCACGAAAGGAAGAATTCCACGACGAGGATGACAACCTCGGCTGAAATAGAAATCCAAGCCTGATCTACTTGGGACCCACCTAAGGATACAGCCCACGTGGCATTACTTACAAAATTTATGCTTGAACCTATAAATTCATTGAGAAATAATGAAAGGAGAGGAAGGGATTGGTCGTGGAGGCTGGTTTGCTATTCCTTGTTCACTCCAAAAGACGAATTGCCTTCATCTCATCACCCGTAGACAAAATGACAACCGTCATAGCCTGCACAGATGTAAAAAGCAGATTATAATTTTACTTTTGCATGGAAAAAGAAGAATGATTACTGAAAATGATAAAGATATGTAATATAAGGTCACTTTTAGTGAAACTGAAGACTGCAACAGTACTGAATATGTTTTTTTTTTTAAAAAAAACACAGATTCAGAAATAGCCACCATGTTATCATAACAAGCTTAAATTAGAAATCTATCAATGTGATTTAGAAATCTTACTTGGATCCACGGTGACTAGTATGGCAGTCCCTCCAAATGAACATGAACCACCAGCCACTCGGGTCCTCTGCCAGTAACTATTGAAAGCATAGGAAGCATGTGCAAACAATGTATTGGGTTCGAAGCATGACCCACTGGGTTGAATCGAGTCACAATCTGCCCCAGACCCACAAGCATAATTCATTGCTTCTTGAATGATCGGATCGGGCACCGAAGGCTTGGCTACACACCATAAGGATGAGAATGGGCTTGTTCTTGGAGATGGTGGCCCCGTCGGAGGTGGATACACCACAGGTGGGCGAAAACCCCTTGGGCTTGGAACAAATCCAGTTGGAGATGGAACAAAAGTGGGCGGGCTAGTGGTATAGCTTGGTGGGCTAGGCTCATAATAAGGGGGACCAGGTACAGCTTCTGGTGGGCCTGGAACATAAATGGTTGGACTAGGTACTGATCCCGGAGGACTAGGTACGGCTCCTTCTGGTGTGCCCGGAATGTTAATGGGTGGGCTAGGTACTACTTCAGGTGGATTTGGAATCGGGTTAAAACTGGGTGGGCCAGGTACCTCACCAGCTGGGCATGGAGGCGGGTTTGAGATGGGGAAAACTGGTGGTACATAAGCGAAGGGTGGTGGAGGTGAAGATGGCATTGATCCCGTTGGAGTTGAAATTGCTGTGGAAGGTGGTTGTGGGGTGTTTGGGGGGTAGACGCAATTTGGAGGGGCATTATCGGGCAATGAAATTGGTCCTAATGAATCATAAGGCGGCAAAGTAAATGGTGAGCTCACATAGGGACCAGCATTTGATGAATCCATTGTTTCCTTTTGCAGAAGCAATGAAGCCAAGTCAAAGCGCTTCGTCACTTTCAATTCTTGTGCTTGCTTGATTATTGAACTTCCTGCATGCACTGGACCTCTGGATAGATGCATCGATCTTCTTGCATCTGCTCAAAGGTAAAAAAAAAAAACTAGAGTCATGATCAGTTTTTATCCAAATTGCTTCTCGTGCCCTGAGAAGTATCACATTGGCTAGTAATTAGTTAAAGAGCAATAGTTTGATGTAGTGACTACTGATTACTGAATCCTGGCTATGCAATTGGCCCTGTGCGATCTATCTACCACATGAAATGGTAAATAAGGTGGAATATTCAGCGGGAAAAAAAGAGAGAGATTCCAGCACACACAATGCTGTAGTTCTATGGGTGTGTTTTTAGCAGGGCCGATGAAATAAAATAGCAGCAATTCCTATATTCACAATCTACATTGCAACATAAGATGGTGACTGAGCTACTGAATTGCCCCATTTAATTTCTAGAAATAGTAGATTAGGGGGTGGAAGATGCAAATACAACTCGATTGTCAGAAGTAGATTGATATATAACTTGAAATAAATGCAGCGCTAGAGTGATCAGTGAGCTTACCGCAATGAGCGAAGGAAGTAGCTGCAATCGTCAAATAGAGTAGTAGAACGCAGACTTTCTTGCAACCTTCGCTTATTTCCATGCCTCTCAGACAAACCAATACTGGCAAGTGAAAGCTCCAATGCTCAAGCTCCACACCCTTCAAAGATTACAAGGTAACTCTAGCCACTTGCTCATATAAACATAAGAGGGTAACGGCACCCTTGGACGGTCCTAGAATGGCTAAAAGTAAGGCCATGAGGGACAACTGGCTGGGTTGGCCATAAAGATTGATTCTTTAGCAGCCTCACTTTGATATACAGTCACTTTGCTGAGAGCGGTGAATGTGAAGAAATGCTAAAAAGGGTTAAAAGGTGTGATGGAAGGTTTATTTTATACGAAGTTGTCTCTGGATGTGCATAATGATAATCTATTTCCTCCATTTTCCTATGGGGTGGCTACGTATCATGGCATATATGCTTGCTTGACGTTGGGAAAAATGAAAGTGTTGGTTTGTGTTTGCCCCTTTTGTCTTGCTTGCTTTCTACTCAATGCTCTCTTCTGTTGCTGGAGGCAGTGGCACCCTGCTGCCATTTGAATGACTTCTTGAACTAGTTAGGTTCTCATTGATAAAACAGGACTTTCAATGCAAAACTTGGTCAAGCAGAATTTACATCTGATCATGGAATTTTCCTCATGAAAATCAACAACATTCGATCTTTGAGAGATGCAATGCTATTTTCGTTTTGAACTTCTTGGATGAGTGTGGACTGCGATGGATGCGTGTGTACTGCGATGCAACTGCACCGTAAAAATATGAGCATTTCATGAGTTTTTTTTTAAAAATCAGAATTTTTTTAAAAAAAATTATATTGTTTTGACGTAATTTAAATTAATAAAAAAAATCAGAATTTTTTTAATTTTTTTTATATTGTTTTGACGTAATTTAAATTAAATCCTTGAAAAAACATATTATTTTAATGTTTTTTAAAATAAAAAACACTTCAAAAAATATTATCGTTCTTACAGTATCAAATGCTTTCTATATATGGTTTTTTTTATTGGATCACACCAATAGAATCACTCTAAAATCAGTAGCAGAAAAATGGCAATTCTGCAAAAACATGCCCTGTCATTGATTTATTGTATCGTGCCTTTGCAAATCTAAAGCTGCTATTTCATTCAATGATCTGTGCTTAATCTGATTCCCCTCTTCCTTTTTGTTCTTTCTAAATTGTTCAAATTTTCCTGCTCAGGTCGAGTTTGCCAATCTGTATCCTAGTTAATAAAACTCCAGCGCGCGACGAACAGTACTATAATTGAAACGTTGATTTCAATTGATCTTTCACTACTTTGCAATATCTTTCAGTCTTGAAAATTAAAAACAGAGCATTGGACCCAGAACTGTTAGACACTTAGATGAATGCTCATTTAGTCGGACAGAGCTTTGCTTGCATATATAATTTGGTGTAATTAATGTGAAAGATAAGATTTTCATAAATCTCTGATTATGACAAAGGTATTCTAGTTTTGACAAGATTACAGATACGAAATTAATTTTGATCCATAAAATCTGCTTTAATGACACCCTTTAATAACAAAACAAAACAAAAAAAAATCCAAGTATGAGATGGTTTTGCGTTAATGTTTTTCCACATCCCTCTATTCTTTCTTTTATATTTAAAAATGCATGCATGCATACATACATACATACATACATACATACATACATACATACATACATATACATACATACATATATATATATATATATATCAATTTACAAAAGTATACGATGATGATGATAAAAATACAAAGATGATATAAAGACATATATTAATTAATATTTTTATGTTCATTATATTTTATAATAAATAGCTAGTCCCTAACTTATTATTTTAAATTAAGTTCCTAAATATGGAATCATAAACTTAGTCAAAATTAGTTACAACTTAAATAGGTTAATGAATAAGATAAAAGTTAAGTGAATCTAAATTATTATAATTGTTTAAAAACTAAAAATTTTGTTCAGTATATATCTATTATGAGAATTTTTCTTTTATTTTTTAAAATTATTTTCTTAATTATAATACAAAAAAAGGGGAGGAAAATAGTAGATATTAACCTACAACTCTAAAAGAACTATGATTCCTTATATTGTTTTAGATTCACATGAACAATAAAACAGATTAAAATATTTTTTTTTAATCATTTGAATATCAGCATATTACCTAACCTAGAGATTGCGATTTCAAGAGCTAAAGATAACAATATTTTTTCAAGAAATCAGACAACATGCTATAAAAATAAAGTCATTCGCCTTTTAATAAAAAAATAAAAAAGGGCAAGACATGCCAACTTAACCTATTATTATTATTATTTTTATTTTTTTTTGATTTACATGGGGTGTCCGGGCCAGCTTACGCGCACCACGACTAATCCCCACGATCCACTGAACATCCTGCAAGTCCAGTGAGCAAGTAAGGCACCGCGGGGATGACAGGCGTGCATGGTGAGATTCGAACCCAGGTGCGGAGGAAGGGGACAAGCCCTCCCACCACTAGACTAGAACCTTACTTGCAACTTAACCTATTATTGGTTGGCTAGGAGCTGGGCCTAACCTTTTAAGTTTTTATTTTTTTTTATTTTTCCTTTGGTTTTTCTTGTCATTCTAAATGTATATTTTTTTACCACCTTCACTTACTTTTTCAGTTTAGAAATTGTTGTTAAATACTATTATAAATTTTTAGTTTAATTTTTATAATTTATTTTTAGTTATTATGTAGTTAATATACAAATAATAATGTTAATAATAAATTATTCATGAAAAATTGATTTAAATTATTTTTTATTCTTAAATTTTAAAAATAAAATTTAAACATGATTTCACCATATTTATAATATTTTTTTTAGTTTTTAATCACACATAAAATATAAAAATAATACTATTTTGATATTTTTTTTAACTTACCTTAACAATCATGAAATATTTTTTTAATAAAAATAATAATTTTTTAACAAAAACAATAATTTTAATTAAAAATATTATATTTGCTAAAATAAACTAAAAAATACTAAAAAAAAGTTTAATAATAAAGCAAAGAATTATTTGAAACTTTGATTTTTTTTCTTTTTATGTTTTAAGAAATTTTGATTTCCCATGGCGTGTATACAAACTAATATTACACTATAATAATAACAATCATATATTACTCAAGAATTTCTTAGCAATTCAGTAATACTGTGATGATTATTAACAAATATGTGAAAACGTAATTACTGATAAGTCAACTTATAAACTACCATATTTATATAATTTTTTTTATTAATACATGTATTCAAATAATTTATATATATCTCATTTAATTTTATAAATTTTAAAATTAATAATTATAAAAAATTTTAATAGCTTTAAGATTTATAAAACTCAAATTAATAATTTTTTAAAAAATTTAAAATCTAACCAATTAAATTACACCTCTCAATATTTAAATATTATTTTAAAAAAATTTATAATAATTGAAAAAACAATACAATTTTTTCAAATACACAAGAATCCATTAAATTAAAGAAATATATTTTTAGATCCCATATTAAAACCATAATTCAATTAAAATCATGATTCAATGACTTATAATATTTTTTGAATTTTTCTTCTTATTAGTTATCATTTCTCTAAAAAAATGGCAGATACTCTTCGATTAACGGTCAAAATCATAATATAAATATCGTTGTGTTGATCATCTGCCAGCTTGGATCTGCTTGAATATCTTCTAGTGTTTTATTTTATTTAAAGGTCTATAAGCAAAATAACAAACCATTTATTTAATTTCAAAAAGAAAAACCATCTGTTTATAGTCTTAGAAAATCACAGAAAACCTAAAACAAATAACTAATTGGTCGTGATGCCTTCGCAGCCTCGCAGGTAACTCTATCAATACTCGAGAAGCACTATAGGGTTTTAGCTTTCTTCTTCTCAACAACAGAGGGTTTTAGTTTGGGCTTTGAAGAGGATATACAGAGAGCCACGAGAGTGTAAAACCATCAGGTAAGAATTTCCAAGCCCTGACTTTTCATTTTGAATTCAATGTTTCATATTCATCGCAGTAGACTGTACCCTAGAAATCTTTATACCCTCACCAAAAACCATAGCTCCAGGTCTTCAATTCTAACCCCCAATGTCCAAAACTCTAATCCATACACAAATGCAGCAATTAATAGTTTGAATAAGTTCGGTTTTTTCAGTGCTCTAATGGGTCTCCATTCAATTTCCCCAAATGTATCCCCATCAAAAAGCCCCAATTTGGTTAGTAACGGAGGTCATGTTAAAGCCAATAGGTTTGTGAGAAATTACTGTGCTGGAAAGAATGGTGAAGCTGGGTCTGGTGAATGGACTGAAGATATAGAATATTTAGACGAGTCAGGGAGTGTTATTTATAGTGGTAAAGGTATAAGGTCAGTTGAGCCGGGAGTTGATGACCATGTTATGATTGGTGGGCTAAAGAAGCCAATTTTGAATGCTTCTGCTGTTGCGAAGATAGTTGAGGTTGTTAAGAGGTGGAAATGGGGGCCAGAATTGGAGAGCCAATTGGACAAGTTACAGTTCGTGCCAAATATGACTCATGTAGTTCAAGCTTTGAAGATTATTAATGAGAGTGATGCGTTGTTGAGTTTGTTCAAATGGGCTAAGAGGCAAACTTGGTATGTGCCAAATGATGAGTGTTATGTGATGTTGTTTGATGGGCTGAATCAAAGTAGAGATTTTGATGGGATTCAGTCTTTGTTTGATGAGATGGTTTGTGATTCAATCAAGAGTGCAACTCAATTTAGTGCTTATAACAGGGTACTCAAGTATTTGGCTAAGGCAGAGAAGTTGGAGGTGTCATTTTTTTGTTTCAAGAAGGTTCAGGATTCAGGCTGTAAAATTGATACAGAAACGTATAATATACTCATGAAGTTGTTTTTGAATAAGGGCTTGCCATATAAGGCATTTGAGATATATGAGACCATGGAAGCAGCCCATTGTTCATTGGATGGCTCAACTTACGAGCTGATGATACCAAGCTTGGCAAAATCAGGTCGTTTGGATGCTGCTTTTAAGCTTTTCCAAGAGATGAAAGAAAGGAACTTTCGCCCAAGCCTTGGAATTTTTTCCTCGCTTGTTGACTCAATGGGGAAAGCAGGGAGGTTGGAGACATCAATGAAGGTTTACATGGAAATGCAAGGTTTAGGGCTCAGGCCATCTGCTATCATGTATGTTTCCTTGATTGAGTCGTACACCAAGGCTGGGAAATTGGATGCTGCTCTCA